TGCAGATCAAGTGTATTGATGTTTGCATTGGTGTTACAAAAGCAATGATGGATGAAGATGCTTCTACGTTAGTGTGCATCAAGGTTGTAGCACCAAATTTTATTAGCAGTTGTAGTCTTCACTGTCATAATTTATAGTCAGAACAAATGCTGGTTTCCACTGAAAATATCCTTGATGAGGTAGTAAAAATTATTAATTTTATTCATTCTTGATTTTTGAATATACCTCTTTTTAGTGATTTATGTGCCACAATAGTAAGTATTCATAAAGCACATCTACTGCGTACTGAAATACAATGTTTGTCTTGTGGAAAAATCCTTGGGTGATTATTATTTTAGTTTTTTTTTTTTTTTTTTTTGAGACAGAGTCTCACTGTGTTGCCTGGGCTAGAGTGCCATGGCATCAGCCTAGCTCACAGCAACCTCAAACTCCTGGGCTCAAGCGATCCTCCTGCCTCAGCCTCCCGAGTAGCTGGGACTACAGGCATGCGCTACCATGCCCAGCTAATTTTTTTCTATATATTTTTAGTTGTTCAATTAATTTCTTTCTATTTTTAGTAGAGACGGGGTCTCGCTCTTGCTCAGGCTGGTTTCGAACTCCTGAGCTCAAACAATCCGCCTGCCTCGGCCTCCCAGAGTGCTAGGATTACAGGCGTGAGCCACCGCGCCTGGCCTATTATTTTAGTTTTTAACATTTTTTTATCTAGAGACAGGGTCTTGTTCTGTTGTCCAGGCTCATGCAGTGGCGTGACCACAGCTCACTGTAACCTCCAACTCCTGGGCTGAAGCGATCCTCCTGCCTCAGCCTTCCAAGTAGCTAGGACTACAGGTGCATGCCACTATGCCTGGCTAATTTTTTTATTTTTTGTAGTGACAAGGTCTTGCTCTGTTGCCCAGGCTGGTCTCAAACTCCTGAACTTAAGTGATCCTCCCACTTTAGCCTCCCAAAGCTCTGGGGTTACAGGTGTGAGCCAACGCAGCTGGCCGTGGGTAATTTGAGTGGTGTGCTGAACTAGTTTTTCTCTTTCATGGATCACCATTTTTATTTGAAAGAATGACAGACTGACAAACTATATTTTTCAAAAATGAATGAAGTGAGCCTGACTTTTCAAAGCAAACAACTGACAGTATTTGTTGCCAATGATAAAATTGGCAATGGATCAAGTGAAAATCAAATTTTCACTGTGAGCTTGATATCTTCTCAATGTTTAAAGGCTTTTCTGACAAAAATCGGTGATATTAACTAATGTGATTTTTATGTTACAATATAAAATATTATAATACTACATAATACTATATTACTATATTACTATAATACTACATAATACAATATTATAATACTACATAACACAGTGAACCAATATTTTCCAAATGACCAATTCATGATGTTTATATTTATGGATAGGAGAAAGACCCACTCAATGTGCAAGATAGATGAATGGATTTTAATTTAACATTATGAAAAATCCACTGACCTGGTTTCAGATGGCTCATTGAAACCTTTAAAAATAGTATCATTTGTCAGGTTCTGTCACGGTATCAATGAAGAATATCTACAATCATATAAAATGACTATTAAAATACTCCTTCCCTTTCTAGCTACATATCTGTGTGAGTCTAGATTTTCTTTTTTTACTTCAACTGAAACAGCATGTTTTAAAAATTGACTGCAGAAGCAAATATAGAATCCAACTGTCTTCTATTAAGCCAGACATTCGAATAGACAGGAAAAAATGTAAACTAATGCTTCTCTTCTTAATATTTTGTTTGTTTTTGAAAAATAGATTTTTCACAAAAATATTTATTTTAATATGCAATCGGATTATTTTTAATGATTCTAATACATAATATTGGAATATTTGTCAGTTTTAATTTCTAATATGGTAAATGTTGGTAGATATAACCCATATAAACAAGAGATCTTTGGGGTCTTCAACCATTTTTAAGAACAAGAACCACTAAGCTAGACTATCATAACTGGAAGCTGTGTTTAGAAGAGGCCTGGATGGCTAAAACATTTCTTATCAATATCCTTTTTGGATATAGACGCCCAAACTTTCAGGAAATTTTGACCATTTTACATCGCAACAAATGAACAGGTTGGTTAATTTTATAAATATACCAGGCAGATTAAATATAATTGTAGCCTGCATTGTCAGATGTCAGGTAGATTGCTCACTTTTTAATGTTGTATAATATTACATGACTTGTAGTCTTTGACTTGCTGATCACTGACTAAATATAGAAAGACAAATGGCATGAATAGAAAGTTTATAAATATTAGAAATTCTTAATAGGTAGTTGAGAAAGAAGAGATTAAAATGTTTCAACCAGTCTTGCCATCCAACCTCAAGATTCTTTTTTGAAAGTTGCCCTGACTCTATAGTGCATATCAGCCAAGATGGTGGCATTCAGTTAAGATGAAAACAAGGCCTTTGGTTGTTTTCAAAACAATAAGATCAGATTAAGTCTCTTAAAAGGACTTTCATTATGAATAGAAAGTCATATAGGAAACTTCAGAAATTCTATTTCCTGTCATCAGTGAATATAGTAATTTTTTTCCCCTAGAGAATATGAGTGTTTATATAACCCACCCATGATTGTAAAATGGTTAAAAGCAGTAGTTTTCTTTATAACATATGCCTTATCAGGCTGTTATTGTCCATATTCGTTTTACCTTTTTATAAATCTGTCATCTTTAGAGTTAGAGCCATTCAATTTTGTTCTTGATTAATTTCCTATCTCAAAGTCTTATTCCTGCAACAACATTGAGTTTTTGAGGGTGAGGACTATACTTATTTTACATCATCCACAATGTCTTATTGGCAGGTAGACTCTTGATACTTGCTGTTCAGTTTAAAAGTTGAGATGCATAAAATTCACTTCTTATCTCCAAATATTTGTTGAGAATTCACTATGTATAAGGTGCTGTGTTAGACACCAATAGATATGCATTGGTGCATTTTGCTTTTACACTGAAGAAACAAGTGACAAGAATTTAAGACTTGGAGAACACCAAGTCTTGTTTTGAAAGAATTGTTCCCATGGCAGTAGAATTGTTATGAAAGAAACCATTTTTGTTGTTGTTGTTGGAAATCCTACCTTATTTGCCAAGTAGATTAGGGAAGTGAAGGGTTTCAGTAAACGAATTGGTTGAGTTATCCTTCTCACTGCACAAGATTGTCAATCAGAACGATGATTTTAAATAGCCCAGAAAGCAGGACTGATTTTGATTTTGCATTTGAACTGTTTGCACTGGCAGCCAGTGGGTCTGGTAGATAACAGTTTTTAACATTGAGAGGCCTAAACCTTTCTCTTCTTGTCCTTGTTGTTGGTAGGCTCCTAACCAGGCTCGTGTCAGTCCTAGGCTGTTACATGAGGAAGCTCGGTGAGGGAATTTGGCTTTAAACTCATAAATAGGTACATTAGAAAGCCAGTCTTTCCACCAAACTTACTGAGCTTAAAAATATCACTTCCCTGGGTATAAAATGTTTGGGAAATGTATATCTAACACTACCTAACCATGCTAATGTACTATAGTAATGAAATTTCTTGGTCCTGGGTTTGGGTGTATAATCTGATTGAGTTAAATAAAAATACATGATAAAAATGCTTATTTAAAAGAAGTTTTTAATGTGACATTGTGGGCTAAGAGCATGGGCTCAGTAGACGGACTGCCCGGCTCTGCTCTTGCTAGCTGTGGGATCTTGAGTTTTATTTGAGGTTTATTCTCTGTGCTTAGAGCTCATTGCCTGTAGAACAGGAAATAATAAAGCTATTGAGAGGATTAGCTGAGTTAATGCATATAAAATGCCAGGCACGTAGTGTTGGCTATTATTATTGTTTTTATTTCTGCTAATTAATGAGATCATATTCTAATATGTCAGTAGTTAATCATAGCAGAACTACCTTTTTCACCATCTTCCCTCGGCAATGCTGTTTCCAGGCTGTGTTCTCTGTTACTGGAGTCTTAAGAATTTTGTAATTATATTTTTTGTGAAGGGGATATTTACAGTGGTGAGAGATACATTTCAAATAAGTTTCAGTTTTGAGTATCTGCTCAGTTATCTCCTTATATATGCTGCCATTTGCGACAGCCAAGGCATGCCTGTTGTTAATTAATCACTTCCACTGAGAACTTAATTAGTGCCTTAATTAGGATCATCCTTGAGTAGTAGGCAGCCTCATCCTGAGCCAGCTGCAAGTTCTTGGCCAGCTCCAGCAAGCCCTTCTGGTCCTATGAAAACATAGACTGAGGAAGAAACCTGTTGTGTTTCTACTTGGTTTTTTGTCCTCCTTAAAGCAAGCTCTAGAAGATCATCAGTTGTCTGTGATGTATCCATGACCTGTCATACATGCAAAAATAGGAGAACATACCACTTATACTGGATTTGATCAGAAAACCAAGATTGGTTATTGAATTCCAGTGATTGTGCTAAACAAGCAGGAAACACGCTGTTGTTTGCAAATGTTGAAAATTAGACCATGCATTCTGAATATGACAGAGTATTTCATTTTTATGCTGAAAGTTAAAGTACTTTCCTTCTGGCATCATTGTTTTTTAATATATATTGCTTGCAGTATTACCATATTGTTACAGGATGAAATCAGCCCCCCATTTTCTTTCTCTTTACCCCCTCAGGAAAATATGGGAAAATGGGACAAAAGTAGCATCTTCTTGCCTTATTTTCCTGTAAAAGTAGAAATTGGGTTAAGAGTGAAAGGCATGGTCAAGTTATTCCAAAAACAGTATTTCCTTCAGACCTTTTGGATGGACTGTAACTTTGCAACAATAAAATAAAAGTAAATTTACCAATGGTTTTTATCTTATAGAAATGGGAATCCCTTGAATCAAGGTCCCAAGTGAGAATAGGCATTGTGAAATGGACCTACTTTGTATGAACATATTTGCTTCATTCTTTTGACTTTTAGGCTTTTAGATGATTTAGGTAAATTGTAAAGTTGGTGAAAGGGTCAAATGAAATATTTTGCATCCAACAGATTTGCTGCTGCTTCCAGGAGAAGTAGAACAGGAGGTCAGCACCAGCATGCCTTCTTGCAATCCTTCCGTGGACCAGCCGCTCACCCTTGCAGTGAAGCCAAAGCCCACCGTAAAAGGAACAGAAAAACAAATGGAAGAGGTACTCCACGTGGAATTCAGTCATTCTCGACATTGCCTTGATTTGTAAATTTGTCCTTTCAAAGAAATGCTACTATACCCTTGTGCTTTTGTATTTTTCTCAGATTTGGGAAAATTTAGAATTCAAGTTGCTTAATTGGCCCCTCTCACAGCCATCTATCTATAATGTATATGTTTCTTTTTAAACACATATAGAGCAATTATGTTTTTATATGGAAGCTATTTTTGTTTTATAATGTATGCCATGCTATAGGACAGTGCTACCTAGGGACTACACAGTAGAAAGGACAGTTTTCTTATCTCTTCTAGTCTGAATTGGCTATTTTTGTTTTTATTATTGTTTCTAAGGTTCTATAGACTCTTTTGCAACTCTTTTATATGTGCTTAACAAATGTGCACCAGTAGAAGCTGTTGATGATGCTGGGAATGACCTTTCTCACCCTCCTTGCTGGAACACAAAGGGGGATCAGGCACAAGAAATTGTTAAGGGTTCTTTATTGTTGCTTCTTAACAAAATCCCTAGGGTTTTTCTGGATTATTTAATCATAAAGGTACTAGTCTTGTTACTAGAAGATATTCTGTTATGGAATCAGTCATTCAGTCAGAAATAATCCACACATTTCAATTTTAAATTGCCCTTTTCTCATAGTACTTTTGTTCACTGACATCATGAAAGCGTATCAGGATGCTTGCAGGCTTGTATTAAACTCCCAAATTGTTTGCCTGATAAACTGGTAGGGACAGCCACTTTTCAATATGCTTTTTGAATCATATTAATAGATTGCTTTCTTTGAGTTGTAAAAAGCTAAAATTAAAATTTCTAGCAGGAATCAGTTTTTTTTTAAGACTTGTTCATGTTCTTGACTTTACTCGTGACCATACAAGTTAGTGGACCAGCCAGTGGATATGGCACCTTGTACCTTCGTAGAAATACAATTATATTTCAGTACAATTATAGTATATACTCTGGTACGATTATAGAAATTGTTACATAGTGGTTTTAGTTAATGGGTTAAAAAATGCTGAATGATTTCTGGAATCTTTCAAGTAGCCAGTAAAATGCAAGTTAAGACCCCATATATGATTGTATCTTTAAAGGGAATGTAAATAAATTTCTTACCAGAAATGTGAACTTTTTTTAACGTTGGAGTCAAAATGATATGAACAATTTTTGTGTTGGCAAACTCATGAGCCATAGATGAATAACTTTTGCTGTGTTTTGAATACCCAGAGTAATATCTTGGTTGGGATTTTTATTTCTAATCACTATTTATTAGAGTAACTTTTCACAGCTGTCTAGAATCATAATACAGGTTGGGTGTCCCTAATCAGAAAATCCAAAATCCAAGACACTCCAAAATTTGAAACTTTTTGAGCACCAACATGACATTCAAGGAAATGCTCAATGGAACTTTTCAGATTTCAGATTTTTGGATTAGGGATGCTCAACTGCTCTGTATTCTGCAAATTTTCCAAAATCTGAAGACATATAAACTCCAAAACACTTCTGCTCCCAAACAGTTTGCATAAGGGATACTCAACCTCTACTGTACTAACTCTGCCTTGGTTTAATAGTATTAATCTTATTTTAAAGCACTCAATGCTAGTAAAAGAACATAGTCATCAATTTCCAGAAAATATGTTCTGTAAGGGCTTACCCAAAGGCCATTTTGGGGCTAGAGATGGTAGGCGCTTTCTGTGATTTCAGTCTGAAAAGATGAAGATGTATTCTGGATATCCTGACTTTCTCTTAATTGCCTATTAAGAGTCCATCAACTTTCTGATATGAATTGGACCAATTTAATTTTTTTCTTAATTTTTTTGCTTTTATTATTATTTTTAATTGACACATAATAATTATATATATTTATGGGATACAGTGTGATATTTTGATACATGTATTGGTGTAATGATCAAATCAGGGTCATTGGTATATCCATCACCTCAAACAATTATCATTTTTTCGTGTTGGGATTTTCCCCTACTTTTATTACTAGCTTTATGCATTTTCCCCTTAGAGTCAAATATTTTCTAAGAAACTTTCACTGTCTATTTGTGAATAACTTCATGCCTTGGTTACCTTATTTTGATGAATTTTCGAGGTTTTGAACAGCTTTATAGAGCAAAAAGAGTTCACATTAGAAGGATGAAAAATTGTGATTCCTCCCTCTCCCCAAAAAACTGTAGAAGAGGTCATAGAAGAAACTTGTATGGTATTTTAATAGCAGATCTCCTGTTTTTCCAGTTCATAATGGGACTCTAAAAGTTTTCACCTAAAAAGACAGTTTATTTACCATATTACTTTGTATAATAGCTTACAGCTAAATGCTGCTATTATTGATTTGAGCATTAGTTCTCTTTTTTAATTTGCCTATGTGGCACTGTGAATGAAAATGATTTCTTCTTTAACAGTGTCTTGGTTAGAATAAGTCACATGACCAATTTTAAGGAAACTTGAAGTTTTCTAATAGTGTTTAAATTTTGTTCCCTGAGAGGCTACAAAAAGATTTCAATTAGATTTGAAATTATACGCCTGAAATCCACATATTTCTCTCAGCTCCTTAGGAAAAAATAACAAGTTAATAACTTAATTCACAGACTTTTTTGTTTAGCAGCAGGGGCTTTGGTGTTCCATTGCACAAATTCTTCACTGAAATAAATCAGAATTCCAGTTTGTAATCTAAAATATTGGCATCTTATAGCTTAGAACCTGAAAATGAGCCTAACTTTAAAGAAGAGAATTTCCAAAGTATGCCACGGCAGCCAATAGCTGAAATATACAAATAGATAAGCAATCTTACTATATTTTAAAAGCTGTGATTTAGAAGATCACAGTGATGTCTTCTGAATTGCACTGTACACCCAGTCTCACTTTGAATCACATGTGTGTCCCTTGTCTTCAAAGACTCTAAATTCACTCCTGAGTGTCTTCATAAGCTTACTTAATTAAAATGCCAGAACTAGCGCCAAGCTCCGTGCCATGTGTATAGTAGACATACAATAAATATTTCTTAAATGAACAAGTAAATAAACAAAAAACCTCACCAATTCCTAGGAGTGATTTCCTGGTATATGGTAATAACATGGTTGGGGTTATTCTCTCTTTTCTTCTCTGTTGATTTATTCCCCTCCACATGTAAACATGTTCAAGTCTCTCCCATCCATAACAAAATGAAACAAAACAAGGAAAAACAACCTTCCCTTCATCTTGAACCCCTCTTTGACTACTATCTATTCTTTCCCTCTTTTTTCATCCAGACTTGAGTAGCTATTAGACTTGACTCTCCCAGTTGACTCTGCTACCTTTCTCCTCATTCCTCATTCCGTACACTGCAGAGTATCCTTGTCTCTAATCACCTGCCTGAATGATTTCAGAATGAAGTCACCAATTACTTTATAATTGCCAAACGCAGTGGTCACTTTTAGTCTTCCCTAAGACTAAAAGTGGATCCCTCTGCCATGTTTGACACCATCGATCTTCCCTTGATGCTCTTGCTCCACTGGTTCTTCCTTGACTGTTCTCCTCCAATTCTTTGTGTATTTCTCTAATTGTTCTTTCCCTGCCTCCTTCAGTGGGTTTGTCTCCATCCATCCCTTATGTGTTGGTATTCCTTAGGGTTTCATGCTTAACCTATGATTCTTTCCACTCTACATACTTGGTCCCTTTTCATCTTTAAATTACTACCCCTTATGCTTATGTCTCCAAATCGGTACCTCTAGTGTCAGACATTTTTCTCAGCTTCGGGTTTGTATGTTGAATTGCTTATTGATTTCTCCATCTGCATTCTTTCAAGTACCTTCAAATTCAACATGTTAGTAACTGAGCCTATCATTACCTACTTCCCTTCCTTCGTTCTTCCCTCCTCTTCCGTTTCCGTATTCAATCAGTTATTGAACACTGCAGATTTTACTTTCTAAATATTAATGTTTTTCACATCTCTGCTACCAGTGCCCTGTTCTCATTACCTCTTGTCTGGACTGCTTCAGCAGGATCCTGAGTAGTTTTCTGACTTTAGGCTCAACCCCCTCAAATCTACCTTCTGTTTAATCTTAATGGTGACCTATCTGATATAATTTCCAAGAGGGCAGGGCATCTGTACTCCAGTACCTGTCTCATTGTAGGTGCTCAGTAAAAATTTGAATGAATGAAGGAATTTATCTGAAATGCATAGATAACCAAGTGTCTACCCTGTTTTAAAAAAATTCTTCAGTGACTTTTCATCGTCTCTAGTATGATTTGGCATCATCTTCGTCTTTTGCCACTTTCTACCTTACGCTTTATGCTCTGACCATGATGAACTACTTTCAGACTCACAAATGTCAAATTCTATATTTTATTTCCATGGCCCGCTCATGTGAACTACCCCTGTCTGCAGAGCTCATCTTCCTTCAACTTTTAACTAATATCTTTTAGGATTCTGCTTAGATATCACTTCTTCCAGGAAGCCTTCTCTGATTCCTTCCCAGTCCTTTCCAACTTGGTTTGGGTTAGGTGTCCCTCCTCTGTTCCCATCACCCCCTAACTATATTATTTGTTCTTACCACATTTTACTATAATGATTTGTTCATGTGTTTATCTCATGTGTCTGTGATTTCATACAGGTCTTCACTTTGTATCCCCAGCACCTAATACAATGCCTAGAATTTAATAGGTACATAGAGTTTGTGGAAAGAATGGAAAATATCCGAATGATTGCTGGAGGCTGTTCCTCTGACATTTTGACTCAGGCTGTGCTGGCCACATTGCAGTATATTCCCCAAATGGTTTAAAATGTCCTGAGTATCATATTTTGGCATTGCAAATATAAAATTATTACTATTCTTGCTTTTCTATTTCAACATTTAACTGATTGCCTAGGAAATTAATCTAACAATAGCTGCTATTAATAAATCTTAGTTTTTAAGCAAAGAAATTTATATCTTTAAGTATATGTTTATACCTTTAAGTATATTATAAATGAATAACCCTTGTGCTGACATTACATTTATTGACTTGCTGAAAACTTTATTCCATGTTGTTGTTTTGGTTAATACCAAGAGACTGATGAAGAAAATCATGCTCGATAACAGAGAATAATTTAAGTGTATGAAAAAACCTTAAAGGAAAGCAAGATTTTTTTCATTTAAGAACAAATTCAGTCATTCATTCATTTCATTTCTTTCTTTCTTTCTATTTTTTTTTTTTTTGGTGAGACAGGGTCTTGCTCTGTCACCTGGGCTGGAGTGCAGTGGCATGACCATAGCTCACTGCAGCCTTGAACTCCTGAGCTCAAGCGATCCTCCTGCCTCAGTCTCCAGAGTAGTTAGCACTATGGGCATGTACTACCACACCTGGCTGATTTTTTTATTTTTTGTATTTGTGTTGCCCAAGTTGATCTCAAACTCCTGGCCTCAAGTGATCTTCCCACCTCAGCCTTTTAAAGTGCTGGGATTAAGGGTGTGAAGCACCACGCCTGACCTAAACACAAATTTCTATTATCCGTAGTACCATAATGTTGAATATTATAGCCACAAAGTATATTGGGACCTCAGGGAAGAGAAGGAGTGAGAAGGCAATGGGTGGGGCCATATCTAGAAGAACTAACTTGGCCGTGGGAGTTAGCCTTGATCAGAGAGTTTAGAAGGCCAAAATGTTATACAAGCCTTACTTTATCTGGGTTGCCAAGACAAGGTGTTTTAAATGGGGTTATGTGTAGGGAGGCTAGTAGGATTTTCTGGAGGGTGACAATACTCAATTAAGAGTAAGTTAAGCTTTGCATTTTCCCCTTTATGCTTCTGTTTCCCTTTTTTGCATTCCTCTGTTGGAGAGAATGGCACATGATAAAAATCATTGATTTACTTCTGTTTCTCCTTGAAGTTATGAAAACTTATGGACACAGATTTTGCTGTTTGCTTTGTGTTCTCAGTATCTAATAACATAATAAGTATTTACTGAGTGAACAAGAGGAGGGAGATGGGAATGTGAGGGTCACTTGTGTTGTGTACGGGGAGCGTGGGGGGCATGGTAAGGTGTCACTGGGACTTTAGCACAGCAGGGGAATTTTTCTAATATGAAATTGCATTCTAGCCTCACTGGGAGGTGGGTGAAGCAAAGTGTCTCATGAGAATATCTAGTGAGAATGGCTCGTAAGGTCTAGACAGGTTTTAGAGGCCTCAGGGTAGGATTCAAAGTCCTAGTGCAGTGGGCACACATGGGTTGGGGCAGCTGGAAGCTTGGTAGACATATGATGATGGGCCTTCAACCAGGCATGAGAGGGCAGCAAAAATCCCATCAGATTGAATGTGTTGGTAGAGATGGGGGCTCCTCTTCATACTTTGCCAGGATTGGTTAGAATCGGCTCAGGATGGGGTTGTGGCCAAGTGGCAGGCTTCAGTACTTACTGCTGAGTAGAGTTGGAGACAGCAAGGACGCTTACATTCCAGAAATGAACATCTCTTGTCATTCCATGTGTGTTTTTTCATTTGAGCTGGTCCTAACAATATTGCCCCACTGTCACTTTGGCTGTAGTAATAATACATTTGATCTCAGAAAGTGATCGAAATGGACACATCAGTCACTTTGTAGGCTGTTTTTTTTCTGTGTGCAGCTGCCTTTTAAAAGATAGTCATGGTGTTACATTAGCCTTAAGTACATTTTTTTATGGTAGGATGTGGGAATTTTTCAGCTTATTCAGAAAAGGTCTTTTCTCCCAAGGAGCTATGAGTTGGCTTAGGGAAAAGTTCAAAGTTGGTATTTGCTGGTGTTTTTGATGAGCAGGTGAAGCTTTATCTGAAGCAGATTGCCCTGGATTCAAATTTTGCTTCTCTTCCTTATTGATTGTGTAGTTTTGGGCAAGTTACCTAACCTTTCGGAGCTTTGTAAGATGACTACTGGCAGGGCTGTTTGAAGATTGCTGCTAATGCCCATATGGTTCCTAGTAGGGCCGGCACATGGTGGGAACTCACTCAGTGGCAGCTCTCATCATTACCTGTGTCAGGAAAGCACTCAGGTACTTTCTTTAATAAAGAGGAAATGAATGAGTCTCTGGGAATTTGTTCTCTCTCTGGTTTTACTAAGAAAGGATCATAAGTGGCTGGGTGTTTGCTCTTAGCACTACACTATAAGACATAACTTGTAGAACAGATAGGAGATACCTATTTCTCTTGATTTCTTTTTCATCTTTAGTAACAGCAGCTAGTTTCTGAGCTATATGCTTCATTTTTACCAACATTGCAAAAGCCACTAAATGAGATCATCTTCCATGCAAGAATATTTAAAGCTGATTATAGCTTTAGGACATTTTTTCATTCTTACATAAACCATAGTTTTCAATTATTTCAGCATCACTATACATGTTGTAGAACTACATAGAGGTGCTGAATGATTTCATTGTATCACACACCATTTGTCTTCGGAGAGGCTTTTTAGGCAGTGATGCAATGAGATTTAAGGCATTCTCTTTGGTTTATCGGAAAATGTGCTTTTTATCTACCTTCCTTTAGGAAGTCTTTAAAACTCACAAATTACGAATAAGTAGGCACACAATTATTACAAGTCTTTGCAGCTACTCTTACTTATAGATAAACTGTAATATATTTTAAATTCTTGGTTGGAAAAAAGGGACCCTGGACTTTTTGATTTAAACTGTGTGTTTTAATTGTTACTGTTATTAGCCAGGAGTTGCAGATATTATCTGAAGAAGTATATTTAGTGTAGGGTACCTTTATCTTTGAAAATTATGTCTTATCAATATAGATCTTTTTTAGTAAATGGTAAAAATGTATTTAAGGCTGATCAAAATCTTAACGTATATTTTCTCACATTTATTTTAATATTACTCTTACTGTTTCCATATGCCTCTACCTTGACACTACAAGTGGTAAAAAATGTAATTAATATGTGCAAAGGGAGACTTTCTGCTTCTTGCCTTGGGCAGAATTAGTTAATGATATTCACTCAGATACAGCATGGTACAAATGGGGCATATTAAGAGGCCTAAATTAGGTCAAATTGAATAATTGAATTTATTCCTTTACTTAAAAACAGCTTAATCAGCTGAGAGTGCTGAAGTCTAAAAAAAGTTTAATTAAATATTAATAGGGAGTTTATGTTTTCAACTTATTTTATCTTCATTTACAGTGATCGTATATGTTTTTTTCTCCTTTGTTACCTTTTATAGATACTTGGAGATGAAGTTCAACCCTTCTCACTTGATGAAGAATTCGATTATGACAATGTGATACTAACCCCCAAGTTCAGTCTTGCAGAGATAGAGACCATCAAAGAGCTCTCCAAGCAAGAGAAAAAGAACACCAACACAGACATAGAGGAACCCCACGACTGATTCACTAATGCATTTTTGTGTTTATTTTTATTTTGTTCTTATGAAACATCAGAATAAAAGATAAACCTACTATAATTCCCTCTGTGGAAATTTACATGTGTGCATTCATTTATCAGAGTTATCTGTTATCAGGGAGATAGAGCAGCTAACAAGAACAAAGGGATGGCTGCCCTTACAGAATTCTCTCCTGTCATGTTGTTGCTGCACCCTATGACTGGTCGGGGGGGATGGGAGTGGGAAATGGGAACAGGAAGCAACACCTACTGAAGCGTCCACTTTGATGACAGCCCTGTACGAGATGATGTGGGGTACCCTATCAAAGATCAGAAACATGATCCCAACTTCTTGGGGTGAAGGACAACATGCAAAACACATTGTAGCACATTAGAGAAAAATTGCTAATATGAGTAGGTCACTGGTTCCAGAGATGGTGGTATCAGTTTTGAGTGTTGAGAGATTAGGCTTCTGGGATTGATTGGAAAAGGCTTTACTGAAAAAGAAGGCATTTGAGAATTGATTATTTGTCACATGTTGCATTCTTGCATTTTATTATTATCATTAAATCACGTGTGATAATCGTTATAAAGTACAAGGATTGATCTCTCTATCTTCAGAAGTTTAAAAATACAATTTAGGAAAACAAGACAACTAGAGTATGTAAAAACATATTATAAAGTGCTCATTACGTAGAATACCCATAAATGCATTCAGGGAGGGAGGCAAGAGAGGTGAAGGCACAGAAGAAGGGGGAATAATACATATGAAGTAATTTTTATTATTGCAGGAATCAGTAACAGTTCAAATATACTTAGTCTTAACTCATTTTTTTCTTTCAAATAGACAGTATTTTTTAGAGCAGTTTTAGGTTCACAGAAAAATTGAAGAAAACAGAGTTTTCACACACCTCCAGCTTCCACCACACACATAGACTCTCCTACTGTCAACATCCCGCACCAGAGTAGTACGTTTGTTTTTGTTTTGTTTTGTTTTTTGTTATTACTTTTCTTCTCTCTTTCCTTTTTTTGTGGTAAGAACACTTAACATGAGATCTACAATCTTAAAATTTAAGTACGCAGCACAGTATTTTTAACTATATGCACAATGTTGAACAGCAGGTCTCTAGAACTTACTGGTGTATAACTGAAACTATTACCCATTGAACAGCAACTCCCCGTTCCCCCTTCCCCCTTCCCCCAGCCCTGACAACCAACATTCTGCTTTCTGCTGCTGTGAGTTTGATTACTATAGATAACCTCATATAAGTGGACATGTACTAGTCATACGTACTTCACAGAAGCTCTCTTGCTGGAAGACGTTATGCTAAGTGAAATAAGCCAGTCACGGACAAATTTTAAGCAGAGAAATAACAAGATTGGAAATATTAGTTTATTAAGTATGAAATGTCCTATTTTGAATCAAAAGTTTATCATACCTCAAACAAGAAGCAATACGATTAATCAAAGTATGTGCCTGTGAACTATCAACACAGTTTTGCCATGTTAATGGTAGCTTGCTTATGCCAGCAGCGAAGAAGCGAGTGGCGATGAAATCGTGAAAGGTATTTTCCACAGCTTGTTGAGATTTGAACATTTTTCAAGAATTGGTCCAAAGCCTGGAAGAAGTGGTAGTCAGTTGGTGCAAGGTCTGGTGAATACGGTGAATGACAGAGAGTTTCCGAGTCCAGCTTCTGTAGTTTGAACAGGTTGTTTTTTGCAACATGTGGTCTTGCAAGAGGATTAACCTGTCTCTATTGACCAATTTTGGCTGCTTAATCACAAGCATCCTCATCATTTCATCCAATTGTTTGCATTAGACATGCGCTGCAATCAATTGACCAGGTTTCATGAAACCATAGTGGATAATACCAGCGCTGGACCACCAAATAGACAGCATTAGCTTTTTTTGTTGAATATTCAGTATTGGACTGTGTTTTAGCACTTCATTTTTATCCAGCCATTGTACTGAACACTTGTGATTGTCAAAAGGAATCCATTTTTCATTCCACATAACAATACAGTGCAGAAATGGTTTGCCTTTATGTCGTAACAGCAAAGAAAGGCAAGCTTCAAGATGATGTCTCTTCTGATGCTTGTTGAATTCATGCAGCACCTATCCAGCTTCCTTATCTTGCCCATTTGTTTCAAATGGTGCAATATTGTTGAAATAGTACCGTCAAACCTTGCTGCTAATTCCTGCCTAGGTTGAGATGGATTCGCTTCCACTGTAGCTTTCACCTCATCATTATCCACCTTGGTCTAGGTCACAAGCATGGCTCATTTTCAAGATTAAAATCACCAGAATGGAACTTCTCAAACCATCAACGTACTGTGTGTTCATTAGCCACATCCTTCCCAAACTTTGTTGATATTTCCAGCTGTCTGCACTGCATTAGTTCCACGATGGAACTCATATTCAAAAATAACATGAAGTTTTGACTTATGCATGGTTTCACAAAAATTGCTCTAAAAAAACAAAAGATAATCACAAGCCAAACCATGCATTTGAAAGAATGAGGATGTACCTTCACAATAATAATAATAAAAAAGGTGTCAGAGTGAAATGTCAAAGATATCAGCAGTCAAACTTAGTAAATCGGACATTCCATACTTAATAACCCAATATATTTCACAAAGATAACTCTGGTGTGAGCATGAAAGATAAAATGATCAAAGGTGATGCTAAATCAGAGAGACAAAGTTTAAAGGCTAGTAAGATAGTTTGTGTTGGAGAATATAAAAGCCTGAATTAAGGCAGTGTGGGTGGAAGTGAAAGGCATTGATTTGCTTAGAGATTGGGAACAGAACTAGCAAGGATTGTTGACTGATGCAATGTGGAAATGAGAGAGCAATTGTGAGGTTAAGACAAGATTTTAGTGTTCAATCTATGTACATGCTGACTGTGACAACCTTGTAATATAATTGTTCACAGGATGGGAGACTCTTTTGGCTCAATATTTTGAGCATTTTGCATTTTGGTACTTTAGGTAAAGAAAAGACTTCATCATTTTTAAGATGTTTCCATTTTATGGACTTAAATAGTTTTATAATAGAGGAAACAAACCCATATTTTTAAGAGTTTATAAAGAACTACATTTCAGTGGAGTATTTCATTATTTAACCAGTCAGAGAAGATGGCAGGTGGAACATTCTATCTGTAGGGTTGGTATACTACATTTTGGCTTCCTTCCTCTTGGCAATTTTTGATCTCTTCATTATTTGGGAGCAATTGTGCATTACAGCAGAAGTGACACTGGAAAATGGGTCTGTCCCTTAAAGCCTTTGAATGAAATGGTTTTGTCTCCATCGTACAGTTACTCTTGCTCTAACTAGCAAACTCTTCTTCGTAACTGCCTTTCAGTTTTAGAGATCCCTGACTCAATGGAGATGTTTGTTTAAGATTGGTTGGCAGAGCCTAACCCATTAAATCTATGCGTATGTTGATAGATAATGCTTACCTGGATTAGCTTGTGGCAACAGAAGTAAGATTAACAAACAGTAGGAAATAAAGAGAAGCATCTGGGTGTGTGCACCAAAACGGGAGGGAAGAACATGAAAATTTCAAAAGTATTTTGAAATAATGTTAGAGTCGAGACACAAACTAGCTGAAATGGAGAAAATGTCACTTCAAGCCTGCAACACCAGTCCTAGCTTGTTCAGTGCGGTGGCACGCTGAGTGATCTAACTCCTACGATCCATCTTGTGTGGTGTAGCACAAGAAGAAGGAAAAATATTCAGCTCTGATAATGAATTTCCTTGATTCCTTTGTCAAGAGTTCTATTTTCATTTCCCACAGATGAAATGCAACTATATCTTTGTTTTAAAAAAGAATTTTGCCTATGTGTTCGGTGACTGTGGTTGAATTAAAATATGAAAAAAGACAGTTAAAGAAAAAAATTGTTTCATTTTCTTGCTTCTTGGAAGTTGATGGTAAGTGAATACAGTAGCATGTGAAATGATGTGAAAGAGACAATCTTATTGAGAATTTTATAGAAACGTATTTCTCCATACGTGAAAGAGAAATCCGTACTCCTTACCATGGCTTACCCAGCCTTTACATGATATAATCACTGTTTAAATCTCCAGTCTCATCTAGTACCATCTTCCTCATTTCTTACTATGAGCTGGCCAGTTTTTTCCTTTTTTTTTTTTTTTTGTTTGTTTGTTTTTCAAACACTTCACCTTGTTTCTACCTTAGGGCTTTTACTCTTGTTTTTCCTTCTGACTGGTCTTCCCTGGTCTTCATTTGGCTGGATCCTTGTCATTATTCAGGCCTTTGGTGAAATATATCTTCCCAGAAGCTCTTGCTGACAGCCCTGTGTAAAGTAAACCTTTTCTCACAAACCTCCATCCCTGTCATTGTGCATCCTATTACCCTACCTTGTCTTGTTTACTGTCTGACTCTCTGATTGCGGTGTAAGCTACAGGAGGGCACAGGCCCAGCCTGTCTTTTCATTGCTGTGTCCCAACACCTGAAAAGGGCCTGGAGCAAAGTAGGTGGCCAATACATATTTACTAAATGAATCAGACCTAAAAGTATAAGCTTATTAGCTTGAAGAACTTGGAGGTGCATTTCATCAGTTCAATTTGGTTACACAGATATTGAACACTTTTAACATTTAAGGCATATACAAATCTTTACTTTTTACACTGATGATACATCTGATGGTCAGTGCAAATTTGAGGAGCCTAGCCTGTTGTATAAAAATGTTCCATGTTCAACAAGTTTCTTCCTTTCCTCACTATAATCCCATGGAGAATTGAGAGAATGTTGGTTCTCATGGGAACTCTACCCACTCTCAAATGCTCTTTTGAAACCTTGTTATGTCTTCCTACATTAGAAATCCTATTCAGAAGCAATTCACGTGATATAACACTGATATTGCCAGCGTTCTACATTAAAAAGTTTGGACTGATGACTAAAGGAAAACTAGAAAGGGAAAAGAAAACAAGACATGAAGAGTGAAATTGGTAGGAAGAAGAAAAATTCCATTTTAGTAGCTG